GATAAATAGTCTCGAGCAATGGGGTATACATGGGGATATTGACTGCGGATTTTCATCCATGCTTGAAAAGGATCGACAGAACGTGGAAAAACAGGCTGATGCAAGAAATTTTGTAATTCTGCCGATATGCCCCCATGGCGGTCCACTTCTGACATAGCATAGGACTGATGAACCTGCAATATGTCATAAGAAGTGAATTTTTGTAAATATGTAGATTAATAACTTTCTCCACCATTTTGTTATGAATATCCCACAGGCCTCCGGTTGGTTTTGGTGGGGGGACAGATGTGTGCAATCATCGTATACTCTTTCGGTACTATAGATCTGGTCAGACACAATTTTAACTGCCCGAACGTGAAACTCCAGGTACAGGTCAATATTTAAATTGCAAATGCAAATGCGCTGATTTTTTTTTTGGTGAATCGAAACAAAAATCGAATAAAAAGGATCGATCCACTCCATTTTGTCGTGTTTAAGATCGAGTCAAAAAAAGTTTTTTTTTTTAGAATGCATGGTAATTCACGACGACTCCGAGTTATCAAATGGATAATGGTATCATAAACACACTTCCAGATTCAAAAAATATTATTTCCTAATCTGGCACGTATATAGTTTTGAAATTTGTTCAACTGTATTAAATCGATTTGAATGGACATTTCTTATCAATTTTGTTTCGAATACCTCTTGATTCATCTGCTGGCAGCACTTACTGGCTCTTACCGGCGACCAACGCGTCTGCCCGCAAAAGCAACAACGCCTAAATCTCAAAGCTCTCCGGACGTCCCCTCAAAATCGAGATATGTATAAGAACAATCTTCAACTGGAACGTACTCACCAAATCAATACATCCGGGAGCACATTCCCGATGTTTATTTTTCTCTCGCAATCGCCAAAAGTGCAGGAACTCAGCGATGAGTAAATGTTTCTCATGGTTTCCTGTGGAAAACCTAATAAATCTGCCGGAAAATGAGGAAATTGGTGAAAATTTTATTCAGTCTCGGAGTAGTACCAATAGACTGAGTGAATCCAATCTTTACTTTTCTAAAATTCGGGTATTTTTCCCTGGAAAATCCTGGAAAAACCTGGGAAAACATGAGGCAAATTTACTCATCGCTGAGTTCCTGCACTTTATGTGATTTATGAGTTGACTTAACGTAAATTTGGGTCGTTCTCATTCGCCGTGTGCACTATTCCCAACCAGGGGTTGAAACAGTTGACGTTTCTTACTACACTCGCTTCATTGTCGTGCGCGACAGTCTGTTTGTAGGGTTTTTGATCTAATTTCCGTCCTACTAAGCACAGCCCGCGCTTTACCTCTCTTTTCTGAACGAGTTTAAACAAAAAAAGGAATATTTCTATCAAAGATGACTTGCAAATTTATTCACCATTCCGTACGTACCGTTGGATTTGATAAAGAGTCACAAATTGTTGAGATATTGTCTAAAATCTAACACTGCTTCTTGATTCTAAATTCGTTCTACGAGTTTCAATTCCGTCCTAATGCATTGAAACGCCATTAGATTTTCTTCGTCCTACGGATAAACGTAGAAAAAGGGGATTCGCTAGGAGCGCTTCTTTTGTTTTGAGAACAATGAGCGTAAATATTCATATAATGCGCTCTAACAGGATTTATGTTGTAGCTAATGAACTAACGCATCGGAACAAACCCATTATTGATTTGTGCACGGTGAAATCATTGATATTATTGATCTTTTCTGATCGATAGAACGGAAATGGGGGAAATTACGACGAAGTAGCGCTCTACCCTATATGTACTCTCATGCTCTACTGTCGTCTCTATTACACAACACAAACGGTATACAAATTTCGATCACAAATTATAAAATAAATACACTGGAGTCGCGGTTTTTTTTAAACGGTTTTTTTACGCGGTTTTTTACGTGAAATTCGGATTTTACGCGGTTTTTTTTACGCGGATTCCGAAATTTACGCGGTTTTTTTTACGCGGATTTTGGTTTTTTTACGCGGATATCAGAATTTACGCGGTTTATCATTATACACTAGAGTCGCTTTTTACGCGGTTTTTTTTACGCGGGACGTATCACCCGCGTAAAAAGCGACTCCAGTGTATCATATGACATGTATAATTTCGCCCTAATTCCTCAATTTGATGTAAATTAAACCATTTCTGATCAGAAATGTTATTACTATGACTCATTGCTTGCTATTCTCAGAATTCACACAAGCACAACATCAGCAACTCTTATTATGAGAAAAACTAAAATACATACATTCGTGACGGTCTTCGGTGCAGGGCTGAAAAAAAATCACTATAATTCATCAAAGTTCACTATGGATGAAACATTCATTTCATAGTGAATGTTGGTGACTTTTTCAACCCTGCTTCAGTGACAGGGTCGTATGACATAGCCCGTCATTTGAAATTTAAAATTTTGTACTGTAATTTGATAGCTTGTTTAGCAAATGTCGGAAACAAAAACAGTCGATTAGCACAGAAAATGCGTCGACTATGGTAACCACTTACAAGACTGTTCCCAACCTATTTGATTTATTTGATATTTTGATCTTTAAAATCGGCCCACTGGTTCAAAAGTTATAAATTTTTGAAAAAATAATTTTTTGAAAAAAATCGACTTTTGACAAAATGAAAAATACAGGTCTAATATTTGTAAATGTACACTGAAAAAAGTTTTCACTTAGCTTCTATTAGGAACGCAAATAGTACTTTTCCATTAAAAAAATACTGATTTTTATCTGAGTATCACATAACATAAGACATTCTATGTGAGTAATCATATAGATTTCATTGGACACATAAAGTTCATGTGATTTAGTGTTGCAATTTCCAATTATTTTCCACTGGTTATGTGATTTATTTTATGAGTGTATGTTTTTACTTTGTAACGGTATACTTTGTATAAATCCAAGTCAAGAGGAACATGAGAAACAGGCATATCAGCTTTTCGTAAACGAACCTTTTTATGACCCTCTCGTGTCAACCGAAGGACGCCCACGCAAACCAACAACGTTATCGGGTAGAGGAAACATTCCCCTTGCTTTAGCTGACAGGACCTTTTCACATGTTATTCTTGAATTGTAGGTTGTCCTTCTTCTATGGATGGTATTTTCTGAAATCCAGCTTCAAGCTGTAAGCGATATAAAAATGTAATCATTACATTTAAAACAATTCAAAAGTTAAGCCCTTTGAAAAAGGTGGTCATGAAATGTTGAAAAATGTGTATCAACAATGTATATTGATAATACCAAGCAATAATAATTGCAAAAATTGCGAAAAAATGACGGAAACATTTTTATCCGCCTGCTTGCATCCCCCATAGTGCAGCGCACGGGTGGCAGAAGGTTGTCTTGCAGAATCACCGCTTGGCCGATCTTGAGATTAACTTGACGCTGGTTACTAGTAGACTGCCGTTGCAGCTCCTTAAGGTACTCTGTCTGCCAGCGGTACCAAAAGTGCTGCTGCTTCTGTTGGATGATTTGGTACCTGTTTCTCCGGATTGGGGAGGGCCTGAAGTGGTGAGCCAATTAAAAAATGGTTTGGAGTGATGACTTCGAAGTCGCTAGGATCCTCTGACAACGGTGCCAATGGCCTCGAGTTCATGGCTCCTTCAATCTGCAACAGTATCGGCACTAGGTCCTCGTACAGTAGAGATGTATTGCCAAACCATCACAGTGGCCTCCCATAGACAGCCGAAGCTTGGGGCACGAGGGGAGATCAGTTAGGAGGGTGGTAGCAATTCGAGTATTTTCGTTTGTATTGGACAGCATTTAGCTTAGATACTAGTGAAATGTCCTATTTTAGGTGACCGGCTATGACTTGTTTTAGATTAGATTAGAATTAATTTTCGTGTTACAATTTAAATCACAAATCCTTCAGCGAAGAATTTATCAGTTCAATAAGGTTGGATTGAAATCCATGTTGGGTCAACCCAAAACGAAAAAGAATTTCCAAACCAGTATTTAATATCCTTGACCGACTAGATAATCGAATCCATCGCTAGTAGCATGTATGCTTCGAAAAATCATGTAAATTGCAATTTATAACGCACACGTAGTTAGCATTAGATTACAGGATAATTTGTGTAAATTTTGGAAAATTGCTGCCGCTCTAGTTTAATCTTCAGCATGCTGTTAATCATCTTAGGTAGAACGGTATAAACAAAATAGAGAGAGATCAAGAAATACCGTTAGCATTCGAAATTGTGTGTCAAATTCAACTGATTCCACCACATGGTATCGAATATCGTTCCGGGAAATTGTGCCGAAGGATTGAAACCCGTAATACATCAACCAATTACATGGATACGGTCACCTTAGCATCTGATATCGATCGCTTAGCGCCACTTGCCTTTGTGAGACTTTATGAAAAAGGATTATCTTCCTATCCTCCTCGGCTGAATATTGATCGATTTCGTGTTTTCAAGAACGTGGGGAAGAGAAAAATGAAAAATGCCTTATTGGAAATCGATACCGGTACTCAAATTCATTGCCCTCAGGTTGAGAATGATTCCGCGGTAGCCTTAACTGTCCCAGGTAGATAAATCATCGCCATCCTCCTACGCATCGATCGCAAACGTGCATTGAAATGCTAAAGAGGGACAAAGGCTAACTTCAGCTTCTCTCCCTGATAGGCGGAGCCAAAATCAACGTGCGAGAGAGGGCACTCTTTAGTGTTGACCCTAAAGAGTTGTGCTAAGGAAAAACGTGCTACGAAAGATAAGTGGAAGATCTTCTCTTTCGTCTTGCAGTGCGGCTGGTTATCTCGTTCCATCCTTGGTGGAGGTTGGTGGGATCCGAGCCTCTGGAATCACGGGTCCAGTTGTGTTTTGATGCCTTCTCACTCACTTGTTATTCTCTCTCTCGTGGTTTCGGCCTGCAGAGAATCACCTGTTGTGCAGATTCGATCCGGTCGATCTTGATGGGATCTGCTCTGGAGGTTCTGGGATGCTCTCGGTCGGACTCGAGCCCACTGCCCAGTTCAGTTGATTACGAAACTTCAACGCAATTAGACGCGCTTTTTTGGGTGTTGCGATCTTCTTCACTTTGGTTGGATCGGGTTCGGAAAAAAAGTGTGTTGCGTTTGTGAGATTTGTGTATTTCAGTTGGAACGATAAGATCAAGTGTGAATTGCGTACTACTGAAAAGGAAGTGGAGAACAAGTTTCGATCGAGGATTGAACTTTAATGACGGTTAATTACGCGTTGATTTGAGAAGAAAAAAGTAGCGCAAAAGATCTTTCGTGACGCGCGACAGTTCGATCGGGCGTTGATCGTGCGAAAGAAGTGAAGAATTTGATAATTGGATAAGTGATTTTCAAGGACTTGAAAATGAGTTCGGCGTACATGCAATACAATCCATCGATGATGTACGGTGGAGGTTTGGAATCAACGTACAATCACTATGGAGTCTCGACCGGTTCTCAGTGCTACGGCTACGCTACGGACGGAGCTTCCTCGGAAGGATACCATAGTCCGGGGCCGGTGCCAAGTCCTGAGTCCTACTACCCATCTCCTGAAGAGACCAGTCCACCGAACTACGCTTACGGTTATAACGGAACTGGTGGATACGCTGAACCATACTACAACTATACGAGCGACAATTTCAAAACCGCCAGTCCAACGATCCCTAAACTGATTCCATCGAGCAGTGTCACGTCCAGTTCAAGCTTTGCCAGATATTCGATAGATCACCATAGTAAACCGGCCAGCCTTGACAGGATTTACAGTCCATACACGATCCCGTCGAAAACCAGTCGCAATTTGGGAATTTCCAGTCTGCCGTCCAGTTCACCGACCCCGAGCACCCTGAGTACTAGCAGTAGCATTGAATCGAGCAGTCTGGGTGCAAGTGCCGCAGGAATCATCGTCCAGCCTGAGGTTACCAAGAAACGACGATTGGCAGCCAATGCACGCGAGCGGAGGCGTATGAATAGCCTAAACGATGCCTTCGATCGCCTGAGGGATGTTGTGCCTTCGCTTGGCAACGATCGGAAGCTATCCAAGTTCGAGACACTGCAAATGGCCCAAACGTACATTGCTGCTCTGAACGAACTTTTGTCGAGGAATTGAGTCCCGGTGGAGGAGATTTGCGAAGACTTTCCTGGAAGGTAATTACATTGATAATGGCTTTTATCGAAGCTTGTGCGTGGTCCTTCAGCCAAATCAATTCGTTCGAATTAGGATTGTATGCTTTCATAGTCTGTAGCTTGGAGCTAATCATACAGATTAGTACTGGCTCATCAAACTGGAGTTGTATAATACTTTTGTAATTAGAATTGTTGCTCAAAACCATTCAAGTGATTTGAATGATTACTCTACTCGATTAGAACATAATCTCAGATAATAGGACCTTATGATTTCTTCATTAATAACCCTTGTGAATATTGCATAATACTGAGTACTGCGTGAATAGGCGTTTTGCACCGTACATAAACTGTTTGCTAGCATACCAATTATTAGATTTAACTCACTTAACTTAGGTCACTCGATAGTCACAGGGCAATCAACTATTTAATTTGTAAATAAATACTGCAAGTTGCAAGTTCCTCGATAGTTTTCTCCTTACCTTGCATCGAGAAAAAAAAAAACAGAAGACAAACCATTAACACTAAATACGAAAAACAAAACAAAAAACTCACTGCCCAAAAGTGTTTGTAAAGTTGTAAATAGTAGGTACTTTTAACCGAACCTCTGCAGCTCAACTCGGCGTTGGTCGTTGGTAGGCAAACTTAGCTACTGGCTGCGGGCCAATCGTCGAAGAAGTGGCTGAAGTGGCGCGATTATTGGCCAATTATCGAATTACTGCCTCCCGATCGTGAAGGCAGCAGCTCACTTGCGGCTGAGTTGCGCTGCAGCCACCGCCAACGACGGGGAGACTGTCGAGTGTTCGAACGCGCGCTGCACAGGAAAATACTACATGTGGACTGATTCGATTAGGGTTAAATCACAGGCAAACAGACGTAACTCCTTGAACAATCGTTCTTTCAAATATCTCGTGGAGAACTCGCTAACGACACCTCGTGAAAATAAGCCTGCTTGCTACGTTGCAAACAATGTTGCGAAGCTAATAGTATTTGAAATGCACGTTAAATGAATGTACGATGACGGGAACTAAAGAGTTACGTCTGTTTGTCTGTGGTTAATTTATTAATAAAAAATAAAGCGAAGGAACACATATTTAAACGTTTAGGAAATATTCGTACCCGTAGAGCATAAGAAAATACTCGAACCAAGAGAAGAAAGACTTGTACGTAAATTATGTATCGCTTAAGGCACACTTATCTAGTAGGGAGGTATGATTTGATTTTTAGACCGAGGGAGTATAAAAAAAAACGGAGAAAAAAGTCTGTGTAAATATACGAAATGAAAATAATTGTGCAATTGTGAGAGGGAACAGACAGCCAGACAGGCAGACGGAGAGACGGTAAGGGAGCAGAAAGCAGAGGTGCAACGAATCCAAATAAAAATAAATGTATAACAAAATATTGAGACTTTAAATTATGGGTTTTACTGAAAGCCGGATCCGAAAGAAAGCGCCATGGGTGGGTGAAATGGTGCCGAATCAGTTCTCAGCTTATTGGACTTCTGTGCTCAAGATAAGTACCCCAATGAACTGGTACCATATACGAACGATATCATAAATGGTGTAAGGATATAACGTATAGTTGGAATGGTATCTCGAATTGGTGGTTGCAGGCCTGTCATGGTGAATACTCACGGTTACTCTATGAACCGAAAATCGATTATTATTATTATAGAGTTTTGGCACTTCATGCCGAACAATGGATTAGATCCTAAGTAACATTGAGCGATTCTCTTTATCGACTTTCTCTTTTTTGTTAATAACTTGGCTATAGTCGGTGTATCATGAGTCACGCCAAGAGTGAAGTCAAGTCTACCTATTGAACTATCAAACCAGCCACCTATCGTGCAAAGTAAACAAACATTACGATGCTATGAAAGCTCCACGAAAGGTAGTGCAGTGAAGGGCGTAAAAGATTTTGTAAACAATGTCTTTTCTCGATGATTTCTAGGAATATAAGGCACGCCCACGCAATTCAACATAACCATCGGGTAAGGAAAGTCTTCCCTCACCTGATTTTGATGTTGATTTGCATGCGTGAGCCTTGTCTTTCTAGTAACCATCGCGAGAATTCATTGTTTACAAAAGCTGTTACGCCCTAATTCCCACTCTATTTAGAAAATTTAATGATCGTAAACATGCAGTGAGCTTTAAATTGTCATTGGATAAGTTTGCCAGTAATGAGAATTTGTTATATTTGTTGTTTATATAATTCGACAAACTTACTTACTTAAGGGTCCTGTGCACCACCAGCGGTGCAAAGGGCCAACGTGAAAGACTTCCGTCCTGGGCGGCTGCTAGCTTTTGCCTTGACCTGGGCCCAGGTCAGATTCCTATCGACTTGCTTAATTTCCTTATTGAGGCTCCGCCGCCATGAGCCCCTGGGTCTGCCTCTGCTGCGATGTCCTGCCGGATTCCAATTCAGCGCTTGCTTGCAGATTTCGTTTCCGCCCCGTCGAAGTGTGTGGCTGACCCACCTCCACTTTCGCTCTCGAATTTCTGTTGCTATCGGCTTCTGATGACATCGACGATGGAGCTCGGCATTCGAGATCCAGTTGTGAGGCCACCAGGCACGAATTATATACCGCAGGCATCGGTTGATGAAGACCTGCAGCTTTTGAGTGTTCTTCGCTGATACACACCACGTCTCGCTGGCGTATAACAACACAGATTTCACGTTCGAGTTGAAAATTCGGATTTTGGTGCGTTGACTTATCTGGTTGGATCTCCATACGTTTCGTAAACTCGCAAAGGCAACCCTAGCCTTCTTGATTCGTGCACCTCTGTCGCTCTTGGTCCCGCCGTCCGACGCTATTTGGCTGCCAAGATATTGGAAACTTTCGACCTTCTCCACTGCTTACCCCGCTACCGTAAAGTTGGAAGGGTTGCCCGTGTTGATATCCAACGATTTGGTCTTGTTGACGTTGATGGTGAGACCCACCGCAGAGGAGCGTTCGGCTAGGTCATTGAGCTTACTCTGCATATCAGAGCGCCGTTGTGCTAGTAGAGCAACATCATCAGCCAAATTGAAGTCGTTGAGATGCTCCATGGTGATAGGCTGCCAAAGCAGCCCACGGTTCGGTACACGGTCAATTGCACCTACCATGATCTCGTCGATTACGATGAGAAACAGTAGCGGTGATAGTATACATCCTTGTCTCACACCAGCGACTACCCGGATAGGGTCGAACAAGGCTCCGTTATGCAGAACTCTGCACGTGAAAGCCTCATACTGCGCTTCGATGAGGTTGACGATTTTATCCGGGACTCCCTTGCGTCTCAGGGCGCCCCACAGATTCTCGTGATTGAGACGGTCGAAAGCTTTTTCGTAGTCAATGAATACCAAATAAAGGGACTCTTGGAATTCATTGACCTGCTCCAGGATGATGCGGAGCGTGACAATATGGTCCACACAAGATCTTCCGGCACGGAATCCTGCCTGCTGCCGTCGGAGAGTCGCGTCGATCTTCTCCTGTATCCGATTCAGGATAACTTTACACAGAACTTTGAGAACAATACACAGTAACATGATGCCTCGCCAATTGTCGCACACAGTCAGATCCCCCTTCTTTGGGACCTTCACTAAGATGCCTTGCATCCAGTCGGCCGGAAAAGTCGCGGTGTCCCAGATATTACAGAATAGTTGATGCAACATTTGTGCCGATAGCATGGGGTCAGCTTTGACCATCTCTGCTGATATGCGATCGACCCCTGGAGCCTTGTTGGATTTCATGCTTCGGATAGCTGCTTCAATCTCCTGCAGTGATGGAGCCTCGGAATTGACGCGAGTGATGCACCGCACCCTAGGCGGATCATGCCGAGATGTTGATGGCTGGTTGGCCGTCGAAACTTGAAGAAGTTGTTCGAAGTGCTCAAACCAGCGTTTCAGCTGGTCAGTGGGGTCGGTAAGCAATTGTCCAGTCGTGTCCTTCACTGGCATCCTCGGGTTCATCCTTGCTCCACTCAGGCGTCGTGAAATATCGTAGAGGAGGCGTATATCGCCAGTGTTTGCGGCTTTATCCCCTTCGTCGGCCAGGGAGTTCACCCACGCTCGCTTCTCCCGTCTGCAAGAGCGCTTGACTTCCTTCTCTAGAGCCGAGCACGGTTGACGTGCTTCGTTCTTGGCTCCTCTGGTTCTCGCCCGCTCTATCGCGGCTTTTGCTTCTCTACGCTCCTGTTGTTCTCGCTTGTTTCTATAAAGGCATTCTTGATGGCCGTCCATTGTTCTTCTACGCTGCCACCTTCTGGAACGTCCGCAGCTCGAGTCTCAAGTCATTCAACAAAAGACCTTTTTACCACTGGATCTTCAAGTCAGCGTGTGTTGCACCACCGCCCGAGTCTCTCCTCCAGTCGCTGGATCCGCGCCATGCGTAGGCGGATTTCACCGATTAGAAGGTGATGGTCAGACGTGATGTCGGCGCTGCGTTTATTCCGAACATCAAGAAGGCTCCGTCTCCATTTTCGGCTGATGCAGATGTGGTGATCTGATTTTCGGTATGTCCATCACGGGAAACCCACGTGACTTTGTGCACTGGCCGATGGGGAACAGCGAGCCCCCGATCACCATGTCGTTATTGCCACAAAATTCTGCAAACAGCTCACCGTTCTCGCTCATTTCGCCGAGACCATGGCGTCCTCATGACACGCTCATAGTCCGTGTTGTCGGAGCCGATCTTCGCATTGAAGTCGCCAGTGTAGATCTTGATGTCACCCTTTGGAACCTTATCCACGACGGCATTCAGTTGACTATAAAAATTCTCCTTGTCCTGTAGCTCGGCAGCATCGGTTGGCGCATAACATTGGATTATGGTAAGGTTACGAACCCGTGTTCTAAATCTGGCAACGATTATTCTCTCATTAACAGGCTCCCACTTGATGAGCGTAGCACTTGCCTGGACGCTAAGTAGGAGACCAACTCCACGATGGCGGGGAGTGTTTTCACCTCGAATACCAGAGTATAGTAGTACCTGTCCCGACGGCAGTTTGTGTTCTCCAAAGTTTGGCCGACGAACTTCACTCAGTCCCAGGATTT